AGGAAAATAAAATCACGATAAACATCTGTCTCTAATACCAGCCTACTTACAGCCCACAAAGGCTCACAAATGATGAAGGCATGGAGGGGAAAAAAAAAAGTCATCAACTTCCTTACAATTTCCAATGCTGTTTCCTCAACAAGGTACTTGAGAATGCTCAAGGATTTCTGCCAACCTCACCATTTCTTTGGCAGATTCTTCCTCATCTTGTGTTTCTGGTTACCGTCTTAAAACTTAAAACAAAGTCCTACACCCCATCAGCAATCAAGCCTTGGAGGAAAGCGGTGTTGCTATTAACACAGAAGTTGCTCTGCTCAAACAACCACGTTGCAGGTTCTGTTACTCAGCCAGCTAACCAGCTGAACTGTTCTGTTCTCCTCTTCATCCTGCCTAACACTAACAACAAAACATTCAAATCCCCCTCACTAAGCAATGCAAATAAAAATGAACAGACAAAACAACTGCCTGTTCTGAGATTTTCTTCTTATTATTATCCCAGATTAGGGCTTGGGGACCACAGCTTCAGCACACAGGCACAAGTACCTGACAGACAGTCGACATGATGCAACCACTGCTAGCTCCTGGTTTGGGACTAGCATCTCTTTTTCATCTCTGCCACAGACATATTGGGAAATGAAGAGCTCTGATGACAACGACAAAATGTGGAAAACATTAATTTTCACATCACAAAAAAGGTCTCAAACAACCCATAAATGTCAGAAGAAATTTCAGAAGAAATTATGGTTAACTATGTTCAGAATATTCCAATTAGCTTACTAATGCAAAAGCTGAGATCAATTTTCAACATAATCATTTTACTTTGGGTATCAAAATGAACCACAGATGTGGAATAGGCTTGTGCATTTATTTATCTACAAATTAAACGTATCACTTTAATGACAATCTCTTCTGAGCCTGCTAATTATGAACTTGTCTCTTCTGACAGCCTCAGTCAGGGACCTTTACTTTCCCTGACTCTACAAATGATTCAACCGATTGGTCTGGGATGCAAGCACAAGGGGGGAAACAAAGCCACTGTTTCTAAACCACAGTTGACTTCTACTGTATTCTTACATTCCAGTGTCTAACATCATTACAAATGTATGTCACATTAGCTGTGCTCCGGATCAACTACTGCACTTAAAAGCAACAGCAGCTCACCATGCACCAAGTGAAACAAAGGTGGAATGACATTTAGCCCCTTGCAAGAGACTTTTGTGGAATTAGGAGTAAGGTGCTTACATGGGGGGGTTATGTTCAGGAGGAACTGGGGCTGGGGGGACAAATATTGGCCAGAAAATTAGAGTAGGAAATTCTGAAGAGCACTTCTGCAGTCAGCCCCAACACTTGCTTTTTAATGATGCAGTCTCTGGACACGTCAATATGTCGACCTTCAGTTTTACTCTTTATCCTCTTTTCCATCTTCCATGGGCAGTACCAGCAATTTTGCTGTTGTTTCACTTTATTGTTCATCCTCGTGCAAGGTTCCTTTATAAACACTGGGGAAAGCTGAGGGAGGCAAGCTTCCCAAGGCAAGGTGCGGCTGGCAGCACAAGGAGCTCAGCCCCTGCTGCTCAGGAAGAACAGGAGAGTGCTGAGCCAAGCAGGCTGCAGACAGCCTGGCTTTGTAGGTGATGGAAAGAAACCCCAAAGGAAAATGCAGGAACTAAGCAAGGAACGAGCCTACAGGTGCAACAAGCAGCTATCTAAAGCTTGAAGTCTCATTTTATGCCTTAATTCAAAGTCAATTTATGCCTTAATTCAAAGTGTGCTGAATGCGACTCCTCCCAGCCTGACTTGTGGTGGAACCAGCCAGCGACCACAGAACAGCAGAAGATCCTCTCCTAGCCTGCAATCCCATAAAAATACCCCTCACGCTGACATTGCCACTTGAAAATGTCACTTCATATCGATTAAATGACAATAATGCAATCAGCCATTTTAATGACCTCATCTTCAGCCAGTCTTGCCACTATCACTATACACGCCCAACAGTTAAACGATGTTTGGGATCATTCTCGCCCAAGACAGTTATCAAACTTGCAAGCTGTGATACTAGAGAAGAAAGGCCATTCCAAATTAAACCCAACAATGACACACTGCAGATTGAGAAACTCAGTAACGAATTGCCATTAAGTTTCTGAGCACATATGCATCTTGACAAGAGCAACCACCATTTAACTACATAAAAATGAGAAATATGTTTGTATGATAGTATTTTTATGCAAGTTGGTATCAGTTGTACTTTAAAAACAAGTAATTCATTTATAAACTAATTTGAGCAATATAGCCTGCCAAATTGAGCCTGAAGCTTGAAAATCCAAAGTTGTGCAGTAAGAAACTAGTCCCCTAATTTCCTGCATGAATGGAGACACACAATTAAGACAAAGTATCGTTTTATTAAGGCTCAGAAAACATGCTTTTAAAACTAAGGTGCCTTTTAATTCTTTAGTTTCCACAGCTTTTAGAAACAAACACTTGTTTAAAAGCTCTCAGTGATGAGGCTTAATGGGCTGGAGGCAATCTGTGTTAATGGTGTCTACTCTGGAATGGATTTTTTTTTTGCTCTCAATGTCTTTAGCTCGGAAATGGCCAACAATAATTTTTCTCTAGCTTCTTTTTATTATTAACTATCAGAACAAGAAATTATCAGCGCAACTTGGACATCATCATGCTTTAACCTAAGATAATGTAAGTGCTGTAGGGAGTTTTGCTGTTGTTCTAAAAAGAACAATTAATTTTTAGGAACTTAAAGGTACCAAACCATTCTTCCTCTAATTACACATCTCAGGTATTGCTAAAGTCATTGACAAAATGAAGTCACTATTCTGTGACTGACAAATTACCAAAATTAGTGTGTATTCCAGTGACTAAAAATACTACCAGGCTGGAAACTTCTGATTTAAGTAGGAACTGTTACAGCAAGGATACAAAATAGTGTACCACAAAGGCCTCCTAAAGTTTTTGAAAAATAAATCAAAAAACAAACAAACAAAACTTATTACTTTCCCTGTGTATCTTTTTGAATGGCCAATTATCTTGAATTAATTTTTAGAGATACATAAACAAAACTTCCGTAGCTCAGTAAGCAATGCAGGTAGGTAAAAGTATGTTTTTTAATGCAAAACCAGTACAATTATAAAGCAACAGGCCTAGACAGATCTTGGCATTTTACGTGGAAAAAAAAAAAAGAAAAACAAAAAAAACATTTTACAAATGACTTCCCTTGATCAGAGTGGAGTAAAAAAAAAAATAAAATTTAGTATATTGTATCACATTTGTACTCATCTCCTCAAAAAACATCCATTTTGGATACTCATGTTAAAGTTTTTATCTGAATTTAAATACCCCTTAATTTTAACTGACATTTTCAATAGCATTCAACATTCATATAGACTTTTTATATTTACAAATGGAGAACATTCGCTCAATTCATGCCGGTAACTGTGACTTATTACAGCAAACCTGAGCTCTTCCTTTCACAGTTATGTTCTATTAGTTTCTTCATCATTCTTTTCCTTAACGGTACTTGACCATCTTAATATTCTTTTAATTATAGCGTGTGTCTGTACCAAAAGTACAATTCTACTAAAATCAAGAGAGCAGAAAATCTTCAATACATACACATACATATGGAGGCGGTTCTTCATCCCACATAGTTAAGAGCCTAGAACAACAATAGCTACTACTAGGCAATCTCCTTGGTTGTGTCTATTGGGAGGGGAATACTAAGAATCAAAACATTTACTTACAGATTTTGATGACTATTCCCTGAATGGGACTAATAACAGAGCAAGACCACTGCTTCATTAATTATTTCCAAGCATTCCTGTAACTCACATAGCACCTTACTATTGGTGCTTGATGGTTTGTGTCTACTTGCTGATTTTCTCCTCGAATTTCTGTTGTCTAAAAATACATGTATTGACAACTGTTGTCTTTATTTGTGGTCAGTCTACCTCTAGTTGACTACATGCCATATAAGAAGCAGCCCAAACACTAACCAATCTGACAATTAACTGTGTTGGCACATGGTTCTTACTTCTTATAATTTCTTTTATTATTGAATAAAGCATTTTAACTGCTTTTGACATTAATTTTCAAGATGAATGCCCATCAGTTTCAGAAGTATTCATCTAGCCTCCCCTCCAATCAATTCAGGATGCGCAATTGTTTATGTAATTTTTAGCAATTGATTTTAACAGCTCTTCCTTCTTTTCTGTCTTTCTACACATAATAAACTTGTTTGCAACAGGCTGCATTTAAATTTCAACTTCTTAGTCCCTAACTTCAAAACAAAAAGCAAGCCTGAATGTTTAGGTTCATCTTCATGACAACAGCAGATCAAAGTTTGATTTGCCATCTGCTTTGAGCACATCTCTTATATCTTTGTTTCTGTAATTTATATTTACTACAGAGTAAGCCAAGGCTATTACCCATATTACTTGGTGCCTGTGGTGTACCTCAAAACATGTTAAACCATTACTTGTGTAATCAAAGCATAAGTTTTGTTTGAGAAATGCTGCATAAAAGAAGCTGGATTTTCATCTTGAAAATGTCAAACTTCTGCCTATAATGCTCAGCTACATTTTTCTGAAACAGCAAAGTTCAAAAAAAGCCATCGACCTGACAGATCTCTGACACATCATGATAGATGTGACAGCTCTACTGCTTTATTGCCAGAAATGTCCTCCAACAGAATGAGGCAATCAATGAAAAATAATAAATTTAGTCCAGATTGTGGAACTATTTTTTGTACATGCACAAGATATGATACGACACATTTTTTACATCTCTGGAGACTCCTATTTTAAACTGTTACACTAACTTTATTTAATATTATACCATACTAGTTACATTACCTAATCAGTTTGCCTGTTTTATCTGTCCAACTGTTAACAATGTAAAATCAATGTGAATCTTTGCTTCATCAAGCTAGAAAGAAAAAAATCATCTAATTGAAAACATGCCTTCCCGTGAAAAGAACAATTTTTTCTTACCTTTTTTCCAGTCCCTCTGTCCAACAGCTGAACAACAGCTGCTCCAAATATAACTGCTGAATTACATTCCCATCTTCCTACAAAATATTGTTGATTACTAACACATCAAGATTTTACCTTGAGTGCACAGCGTGAATACATTTCTTTATTTTTTAATTCACTTATATGAGATAGATTACAGCAAATTTTTCAAGTTATTTTGACATTCATAAATCAAAGCTTTCTAGATGAAAAATCAGTTTGATTTATAACTAATGCTTTTGAACGTATTCTACCCTCTTCCTCCAAAGTTACAGCCTTGATATCACCATTAGGGAAAAAACTCCAAAAATTAATTTTCTGAAATCATTTGACCACAACACTAACAAAACAAGCACGGCTAAGTGATAAAAACATTGATAAAAATACACTTTTTTGAAAAAATGGTACCATGACTACATTCAACATTTTCAGTAAGTAGGCTCAATAAATCTAAAAACTGATGCATGAATAGATTGATGGTTACTTGTGTTTGTGTATGATTTCAAAAATACATCAATGTATCACTGTCAGAACTCTACTTCTTCCATTTTTCATACATTCATAAACATAGACAATACTTAAAGTTGTAGTTATCAAGACTGAATTAAACAGTATTACACATTCAATAGTAAATACATGACTCCAGTTCACACAATTTTGAAACTAGGACCTTAATAAGAGGATTTCAATAACAAGATAAAAAAAAAAAAATCTATTTATTCACAGTCATTTTTTTCCTTGAGACTGTGGTTCCAAAATAAGAAATGCTGTGACAGGGTAAGAATGTTATGGTACTCTTACAGTCTTATCCCCTGAAATGTGATGGCTGCATGCAGAAAGGCTGAGTACCATTTGCATAAGAAACAAGAAAAAGAGTTTGTTTTGCTCTTGTATAAGCAATAAATAACACAAGGAAATAATTACGGACAGCAAGGTAGGTGAAGTGCACCGCTGGCTCCTGAGGCGTTGGGACGCACCTGGCCGCCATTTTGTGCCCAGGCCTTGCCGAGGGGGGGGCTTACTGCTGCCTGAGCAGTATTTAATAGCCTGCTACAGACAAAAGGGGATTTTGGACTTGAAATGTCAAATACAGAACATAAGAACAAAAAACAGATTTCGTAATTGGGTGCATGTTACCAAAAGGTAATATTTTAATTACATGTGTGGCCTCTCTTTCCCCAACAAGCCCTGGTTACACATGGCTTCACTCTCATGGCTCCTGTGAAAGGCAGGGAAGTAACATATTTTGTCATTCAGATAAGCGAACCTCAAGTACAGCAAGACTGTGATAAACTTTCAAAGAATCGTATAATGTTCCCATGACAGCCATTTTAATGTGTGCATCCCATAGTTACTTTTGGCAAGCACAGCTTGGGGTGTTTTTTTGTGGTCATTTTAGACAATTATTTTAAAATAGTCATATTAAGTCCAGAAAACAACAAGCACTGTATAACAAAGAAACTGGTATTTCCCTTCAAGCCTCGTGATATTTTTTGTGCTATATTTTTGCTGTTATCAGACAAATGCTCTGAAAATGCACATCCATTTTCCTTTCAAAAATATTAAAAGCTAGATCTAAAAAAAAATATTTTTTTTTTTCTGTGAGTTTAAATGTTTTGAATTTATTTTCATTTTTAACAATATCAAAATACTTTGCGTTAATATAATGGAATTGCTTACTACATCTGAGTCTATTTTTTTGATTTTTCATAACTGGCACAGCAGTTCACCTAATCATATTTAATTTTGCTGTCATCTTATTACCTTCGTATTCAAATTTAAGTTTAAAAATAATGTTACAGAGGACAAATCTGGAACTGGTAAAAATGCATTTCTTAATGTATGATCAATGCACATCACACAAGGAGAAGAATATCTATTAACATCTATTAATACCTATTAATATCTATTAACAACTGAGCTGGCATCTCAAGCTAACTTTGTTACTGAAATTCAGTACTACCAGTTGCTGACAAAGGTGTAACAAAATCTAAAAACAACACTGATGTACTAACAAGAACAAGTTGTATTTGGTGCCTATATATTCATAATAAAAATATATGATCAGAGCAAGGTATGATCGTATATAACAAACTACATGAAAACCTAAACTCCTGGAGAGCAGCAATTTTTCTCCATTCTGATTCCAAAGCTAGCTTTCTTCTTATACATGTAAAAGGATCACTAGAGCTAGCTATCAGTAACAACACACTTGCCTACAATTATCCAGGACGTTACCTCTAACCCTGAACCAGGGACCTAAAACGCTAAGAAATGGATTTATTGTTTCGTACAGAATGCATCTGACATCTGAAGAGAATTCAATGCTGTAAGTCCACTTCTATTTTCTGCATATACCACCATCTAAAACTGAGTCACCACAGCTTGTTGCATAATGGATCCCTGTTTGGCTTCCTTGGTCTTCTCTGGATACTCTTTAGTTCATCTGTTCACCTCCACAAAATACAGGGGCAGGAGTTTCCTGCCCTTCAGTGGGTCTCAAATCACTGTTCACCTACAGAGCAGTTGCTTCAAATGCTCTGTAACACGTAAGACTCGTGCTCTGCCAGTTGATTTTACTGATCAACAGCTCCCTAGGTGAAAGGAGAGTCTGCCTTGGGACAACTGAGATTCACAGATCTTACGCATTCATTCTCACTGCATTTCATAAAAATAATTTATGCTATTTTTAGCCCTTAAGTGTAACAGAAACGAACTATACTGTCTTCAGTTACCTACTGATCTACGGACCTTATTTTTAAGTTTATTGCATACACCACTGTGGCTAAGCTGTAGCCAGTTAATTTCAAAACCAAAGCAACAGAAAACAAACTTTTTCTTCATGCACTAATAGAGACAACCCTTAAGACATGCTAATAGAGGTAACACTGTCCCCCTACGCTACAGCTGAGTAATTTTTGATTTCTCTCTTTAAATGTCAGTGTGGTGATGACTAACATGAGTTACGGGAGTAGATTTTGTCCCACCTGGGCTTCCGGCTGTCTTTGAATGACCAGCCAAAGTCTCATTTTGTACAGTTTGTACAAATGTACTCCGTCACACATTTTTGTACAAGTAGTACACACCTTCCCTTTAACATCTGATAAATAATGCAGTCTTGGGTTACCCAGATATGACCATCATCATAAAAGAATCAGACATAAGTAAGTTAAATCTCCGCCTTAGTATTACTGCCTTTGAAACATTGTATTCTCAGTCTGACATATTTTAATACACTGAGATTTAAACCTTAAAAAAAAAAAAAAAGACTAAAGCTAATATAAAGGAAATGCTCACTTATTTTGTCAAGTTATTTACTTTCCTCATAGCATATTGACTCAGCTCCTCTCAGTATATTTTTCCTATTGTGAGTCTAAATGCTGGTAACATTCAGCTCTTAAAGATATGTCATAACTCCTGCAGAATTGAGACTCTGACCTTCAACTCTAATTTGTTTGCTACAGACATGGCTGTGTTTTGATAAATTCAGAAGAAATCTGAGTGCACTGCTGCTTTCCAAAACAAATCAAAAGGTAAAGACTTTTGTCCTAATGAATATACAAAATGAGATTCAACTGGAAGCAACTGTATTAGAATGGCTTCTCCTTCAGATACTTTAACACAGAGGTTTCTTTCATGATACAAAAACAGTACTGGACAAACAAATGATAAATCAGTTCAACACTGATTCCAGAATAGATGCCACCATTTCAGTATGGGGTTTGCTGAAAAGCAAAAACAGTTTCAAACTAAAAAGATTTCTTATTAAACTAAGGCCAACAAGATCCAAGAAAGTTTGGCATATTTGTTTGAATTTCTGTTGATTTTAGCTGCAAAATCAAATAAACATTTTCATACACGTGGAACCTGAGAACCACCTCTACAGGTAGTACAGGGATCTCGATTCTTCTTTCCTTCCTTAGGCTACTGCCATTTCTCTCCAATGTAAATTCACTTAAGTCCTAGAATGTATTTTACGTATCGGTACTTAAAAGTAAACTAATCAAAATAATTCAAAAGCGTAAATATTTAAACGTTTTTTCCTGATGAGATTAAAACATAGCATATTCCCTGTCAGCTATGGTCTAGATAAAAATCTATTTCTTTTATAGCTGCAAATGAGGATTTCAAAGGCTTGTAGGAAATAAAGCAATATAGATGTTTATATTAACAGCACTCTCCCTAGATCAATATCACTTAACAGAGATTAGTTCAGAATGCTGTTTGGTGGCTTTTTTATGTTAAAGTATCTGTTGAAGTACTGTGATTCTAAAGCATTATACGAATATGAACACTAAGATGACTGCAGCTAAAACTCAACAAAATTCTTGTTCCTTCTGAGATGTGTGAAGAACGCGTTATTTTTATTGAGGATGGCCAAAAAAGTGACATTAAAAGAGGGGATGAGGAAGTGCAACATCTTACACTAAAAAAAAAAATTAATAAATCACTACATTAGAAAAATCTGAACATAATTACCTTTTACATCCTTTAAGCATACTGATGTAGCCTCCCCTTCATCACTAGATAACCTATTGCTTGGCTAGAAGAAACAAATCTTGGTAGAGCAGGGGTACTGACCGAGCAAGTCTTTCTCAGAACACCATGAATATATCTATCCACACATGGGGTAACCAGCTCTTGAGGCAGTAAATAAAATTCATCCCTTCACTGGGTATGAAATACAGAGTACTAAGGAACTCAGCCCCTGAACAGTAGCTGCACAGAGTGGAAAGCAGGGCCTGTCCAGAGCTGAGGGTGCAGAGATGACCCCAGCAGGCTGAGGTTTCTGCCTGATGCAGGGCACAGGGGAGAAGCAGCCGGTAATTAGAAGATCCTGTGATGTGTCTGCCTGATGCACGGTGGCTTTCTGTATGATTTCCAGTATCCGAAGGCCTGGCTGGGAGCCAAGACGCTTCCCAGAGCATACTAGAATCACCTGAGGAAATTGTTGCACTTCTGGTTGCCCTGCTCAGACCAGCATCAGTTCTGTTGCTGCTTGCCCATCAGGATCACCCAGAAGAGGGATTCCCAAAATGCTTTAAGCAGTACAATA